TTCTGGTGAAAAATAATAGGGATCAGTTGTGGAACTAAATAAATTGGCAGGGTGTACACAAAACCACCGTTGTGTATTTAGTAAGAAAGAATTCCTAAAACAATTTGATTTAATATCTTCATATGATACTGTTAAATCTAGTAAAATTGAAGCATTTGATATATATCATTTTTCGGAAATTAAATAAGGAATAGAACTGTAAAAGTTACTTTACAAAAGATCCTATTTTTCATTTCCAAGTATCTATATCTTCCGTCCACGTGAGTTTGTTTCAAACAATATCTTCTCGTTGAAAGTTTTTCATCTACTTAAATTCCATTTATTATTTTTTAATTGATAAACATAATTAGAAATCTAATTACAGAAACAAAATATAAAAAGGATTCCATTGAAAAAAAAATTAAAAACATAGATAAGATGTTTCTACAGTTGGGGATTTTAGCGCGCAGCATGATATAACTATATTTCTCAAGGCGAAAAAAACCCACAGATCTTTGCAATTCAACATTTGCACTTTATTCGATCAATCACTATATTAACTGTGTACTTTTCATGGCAACCAGGCACATTTGTATATACATATACACATAAATTAAAAAAAACAGCTGTGTTTTAAATCATACCAATTAAAAGCTCAGTTTACACTTACGTACAGGTGAATCCAATTTATATCACATTAATCTCCGCATTATTGAGTATTACATTAAGTGCGTAGATAGACATGATGTTATTTCTATATACCCTCGTTTTTGTTTTAAATGCAAACTTTCAATAAAAAGTTATTATCGATTTCAATGATTCCCTCTCTTTTCAAGACTCTTTTCTTTTGAATTAAAGTATTTACCATCAAAAAACAAATATGAATTCAATTTCATGTAGGACATACATGTATCTACATGCACATGTACCTTAAGAAATAAAAAAAATATCAACATTTATTTTTCACTGCTATAATATAATATAATATTTATAATATTTAACTGAATTTATTTAAAAATTCGTGAATATTTAGCATTCCATGGTTCAATTATTCCTGATTGAATTATTTGATTTGGGGCTGCCATCTTTAACTTTGGTACACTAAAATAAAATAATGAAAGGTATATAAATGAATTCTGGTTGTAACGTGCGATTTGATTCAATAGAAAAATTTGTTTATATCGTATAACCTGCGTTACCTTCTTCATAATGACACGTCAAACACGTCTCAATAAACTTGACGTAACAATTGACATTTATAGAATTTAAAGGCCTATTAGATGGACAATTATCTTACCTTTTCTTATATTTAATGAAAGAAAATAAAATCATAAGGAATAAATTTAATAGCTATACCCAAGTTATTCTTGTAAATAAACCTAGATTGGAATAGTTTACGCTTCTTTATAACACGATACAAGGTTTATAAAACGTAAACTGCCCCAACCCAGGTTATTAGTCCCCTACCGGTGAAACCGCAGGGGACTATAGGTTTTCTCTGAGTTTGTCCGTCCGTCTGTCTGTCTGTCCGTCTGTCTGTCTAGCTGTCCCTATGTCTGTCTGTCAGTCTGTCCCACTTGGTTTTCCGCACTTTTTTTCTAAATGCTTGCAGATATTGAGCTGATTTTTGGTATGTGACTTTACCTTGATGAGTTATAGATCAAGTTTGCATTTCGTTCCGCTTCATTGTCTTTTGACGGAATTATGGCATTTTCAATTTTTAACGGGAAACAGATTACACTTGCCGGTAGGGGACTAGTATTGCTAATGCAATACTCTCAGAATACTTGTTCAGTTTAACTTGGTAGCTGTTGATTCATTCCTTCAATAACAATGAAAGATAACATATATGGATTACTTTTATGCGATATGTCAGGTGTTTAGTTGCCCTTCAATCAAAATATCCGTGAATTTCAAAAATATACGTTATATGAAGACAATGAAGAGTAATCAAACTCAAAAGTTCATTGTAATAATACAGAGCAAACACGGATCTCTAAACATCAGAGGTTGAATCAGGTGCTATGGAGGAGTAAGCATCCCCTGTCGACAGGTCATACCCGCCGTGAACTCCTTGTCATGATCGGGCAAATGAAAAAATCCTTAGACAATTCAGTGTGTAAAAAATAATGGCCTAACAATCTGTATGACAAAATGTCAGTCAACATTCAATTTTATGGAAGATTGTGAGAGAATTCTAATATGACATGCTTCTTTGCTTCTTATCTGACATATTTTGATTGTCTGTTTGCTTGTTTGAGCAAAATATACATGTAACAATACCTTGATTAAAAAAAAAGAATTCCACCATGAAATATACGATGGAGTGCCATTTATATTCATATCTTCCGAAACTTTAAAAATGTCTTCCACTAATTAACAATTGTCAATCGCCAATATGTGAATATGAACATGACTAATTGAATGCCATTGGTCACATAAGGGTTCATCGGTAAATAAAAAATTAATTAGTGAAAGACAAAAGCATGTCAATTTTGAAATACTCAATAGTCCTCAAAAGCTTCCACTGAAATTAGCTAGATTTCGAAGCTTCAAGTTTAATTTCCTTAAAAAAAAAGAATAATTTGAGCGACCTGAAAGATTTTATACTGAATCATTCTGTATTCATACAAAGGTCAATTGGTTTGTGCGACAAGTTTTTTTTTTAATTAACTATTAGCATGATTTTAATTCATTGCTGTACAAACATTCTTGGTCATTTTTTTTTATTATTCCTACATGTACTTATATATACACCGAAATTTAATTCACATTATTGTGATTATTTTGATGGTTTTACAAGTTTCATAAGCAAAACAATACATCAAACCGCATTCTTATCTAAAAAAAAAAATTAATAAAACTATTGGAAAGCAGGCAATCCTTATATAAATCCTCTACATTAATTATGTTTTGTCAATGATGAATGTATGGTTTTAATGATTTGAGAAGATGATTTTAAATGTTATTTATTTTTAAAAAGTAGTGAATAGATTAATACACCAGAAAAATGTTCTTTTCTAATTCGTTTTGCATATTGTAAATATTTTCCCAAAATAATTCAAATCTTTAATGTTATTAACATTTAATACTTTTCAAGATTATAAAGTTAAGACTAGTTGTGAATTTAAAAAAAAAAATCCCCGAATAATTCGGATCTTTACATTATTAACACTTAGTATTTCATAAAATATATAAAGTTGTGAATTTGTTATAATGAATTTGATATATTTATGAGGAAAAACATGACATTCTTAGAAACTGAGGTTTAAATAACTTACCTTCGATTCTACCTTTTCTGCATCATTTTTTTTTTTTTGGAAATAAAATTCTCAGTAATGTAAACCTACATTATGATGTACGATAAACAGTTGCCCATTGATTATCTTTGTGATTTATATGATTGCAATATGATTTAAGAAATATAATTCTTGTCTCAAACTGCAACATTGATGGAATGAAAACAAATTATAAAGAAACAATAGACAAGTTTGGAAATAGGAGGAATCGGCTACAGCTTAAATTGATCGGAAATAAGACCTGCCCAATACTCCAGTAACAAATACTAGTTTTAAAATGAAAGACGAACTTACAAAAATTACCGAAACCCATTGAAAATACTTGGCATTGAACATAAAGTTTCATATGTATAAAAATGTTCAGCTATTACATTGGAAAAATATAGGAAGATAGTGCAAGATTGATAACTCTTTCTACTATTAAGTCGTACATTCTTATGCCCATGATTTTTTTAACTTCAGATACGATGATAAGGATTTCAATTATGTTTTTAAGCTACTCTCCGATCTTTTTGACATATAGTCATTAAAATATGTTCAAAATAATGAAAACATTGATTTCAAGCATATTTTTTTTTTATTTCGAATGTAAAAATGAATTGTGCCAGTATCAGGTTTCTTAATGTTGAAATTCAAATTCAATTTTATGCAGCCTACCTCTTCTGCGCATTTGGAAAAATAAGCTTAGAGCCTTATTTATTCAGTGAAATATTACCTATAATGTAATTTTACTTTAATTACCTTTACAATTATTTTTCTCTGTCCCCAGCAAGAGATATTTAATTTGTACAATATCCATATCGTTGTATGTACATTTAATTCAAATTAAACATTCGAAGTAATGAAAGTTTTGTCTGGTATTCAAGTTTTCGTTTCCTTGTTGATGAAATATTTATTTCTGTTCTCAAAATCATTACGTCAAGCCAATAAATCCATGCCTTTGATAAAAACTATTGCATAAAAAACAAATTCAATATCAAGATTTTTTATTGTAATTTGGCAGCTGCAGGTGTATACTAGTTTTTACATAAATTTTTCATTTTTTAGATACATTAGAATGCATTCAATGATATAAAAGGCAAGTATAAAAAAATCGAATTGATTGAAATACTTTGCAAAAAAAGGCAATAAATTATCATTACTGTACATTTCATTTATCACAGATATGTGCTTGAAGGGGAGATGATGTGACAGAAATTTGCTATAAGGTCTACATAAATACCTACACTCCATTTAAGAACTAATGAAGGGAAACGTACATATAAGATTTATTAACAACAGGATAGTGGATTAAAAACATTAAATATGCTAATGTATTCCGCTAAAAAAGATCTCTCCTTATTGAAATTTCGCCCAAATTCACACATAAATATGTTTTCCTTTTGAAAAACCTTTAAATAGAGGGTGACAAGCTAATATAGATGGCGTTTGATAGTGCCTAATGAAGCTTAAGCTATTTAAATCCACTGCGAGAACTGCAATGCTTTAAAAACATCTGCACATCAAGCCCTTTGTCCGATCTATCATGCTTAACAATAGGGTCCAAGGTTACATGATGTCTGCTTTTAAATTGAAAGTCAATAAAAGTTTATTTGGAAATCAAGAATACGAAACATCGCTTTATATTGAAGTTCTGGATATTACTTCTGGACTAAAGATGAAACTCATCTTCCCTTTAACGTAAAGAAAATATTCTTATTCAGTTTTGTTCAAGGATAAAATATGATGAAGAAAAGGAATTCTGGGTCTATGAATCAAATGCATAGTTTATTATCTACTAATGAGGATGAAAATCGGTTCAGCCGAAGAAATTTTTGCCATTCGGCCCCAGTGAAAAAATCCCTTTTGTCCATGAAGAATCTCCAAAGAAAAAATGAAGAAGAGAAATGTGTTTTATCTTCTATAAAGTCATCAGAAGATTTGGATGGGTTTTCTAAAGAAACACCGAACACAAAGAAAGCCATGCCTTGTCGCTGTAAAAGTCTAGGGGAGGATACAACTTCAACTAGTCCGTGTCTTATCACGCAGTCCAAGGCGAACCTCTTGAGGACCCCGACACCCAGTCACAGAATTGGCCCACATGTGTTTGACCATCTTAAGTCCAGTCTTCAAGAGAGACACAAAACATTTGTCAGGAAGACGAAGGCAAAATCTCCTACTAAAACGCCTTCAGAGGAAGATGAAAATGCTTCTGTTTTCAAGGATGAAAAGGTGATTGTTTTTATTTTGAATTTTCAAATTTTCAAATTTGGAATTTAAAATGTTCATATAGTAAATTAAAATTTTCAAAGTTTTATAATTAGAATTCTTAAATTTTTAAAATGAAAATGTTCAAATTTTTAAAATTAGAATTTTCAAATTTTTAGAATTAAAATTTTCTATTCTTAAAATTAAAATTTTCTAATTCTTAAAATTAAAATTTTCTAATTCATAGAATTAAAATTTTCAAATATCGAATTTTCATCGTGTATTTGTGTTCATAGCATAATAAACAAATCATGGTGAAATTACTTTTTTATGGAAATCAATCGCATGCACAAAACACAAAAGGGCATTCCTTAACGGTTAATTGATTTTTTTTTTAGATTACTTCGTGTTGACAATCAAAATAACCCAAATTTTATTTTAATGCTATCGAAACATTTTCAATCAAGACTAAATTGAATTTTATTTTGAATTCAATTTTAGGTAAACTCTTTTTATCATAGGTAAGGAGACTTGCTATTCAACACACATATTTGTGTCTAGGATTCTGATGGAATTGTTCAATTTATTGTTCGTTTTTGTCGCCTAGATGTTTCTCTTTTTGACTGTGACAAGTTTACATCCATTGTAAGATGTCGTTAAAAAGATGTCTTTTTGAGCCACTTTTTCACCAAATTGTCATAGCAAAGGTATATTCAATCACAACTATGTACTTGAGGTAAACAGCCCGAATCTCTTTGAAATGAAACATATACAACAAATATTAAGAAAGTTGACCAACATTAGACTTCTCATTATAAAAGCTATAAATCCTACGAGTACTATAACGATCAAAACTTAGATAAACATATGAAGAATTACCTAGTAAAATACATGTGTATGTTTAAACAGTAATAGACTCATTAGAATATTTAGTTGGAAGGAATTCTATAATTTCGCATACCCATTGGGAATGCTGAATAAACATTTCAATATTATTGCAACTTTTCTTTAAAAAGAGGATGTAGAGATATTGCTTCATCCATTATCAATCAAAATATATTCCAAAAGTGTGTACTGTATGTTAATTGTATAAACGTGTATCACAAGAGCAATGAAAAATGTAAAGAGGAAGATAGCAAACAGTGATTGATCTCAAAAAGTCTGCAAACAATATAAATCTGTGTACAGGGCATAATACACTCTTTGTAAGGAAATCTTCGAACATAATAAATTTAAAGTACTTACAACCAATGTGACTAAAACGTGGACTTCAGCAGGAGAGTTTTTTTTAATCTTCCAGAATTTATGTGCTAGTCTAAGTATCTGAATATATGGATTTAATGGAAAATCACTGCATGTTTGACAGTTAATTAATATCATTTTTAACAAGTGTATAGTAACATGTATATCTAGGAGGAAAAGCACGAACAAACGAACAGGCAAACAAACTATATGTGTGTCAACCAAAAAGCATTTTCTAGTAAGATATACTTGCAGACAAATGGATTATTTGCATTGATTAACATAGAAAAGGATATCTAGATCCAAAGAATGAGCTTGCTAATCTGTCATTCATTAATTTAAATTTTGGAATGTTTTGACTAGAGATTGCACTCCCCTATTTCTAAATTAGAAATGTATTTCCGACCCATATCTTTCAATCTTTTTCCAGTCGACCAAGGTTCGATTTAAGATGGCGGCTAAATGTGTTGCCGTCCTTATTAGATGGCTTAATGCCATTATCCAAATAAGCGACACAAAGACTATAAGAACAGCAACTGAAGAGAGATGGTACACACTATATACCAGCAGGGAGGCCAGACGACTAGCATTCAACAAAATGGTTTACTCCAAAGAAAGGGTATGTATACTAAAATTTAACAGTTGCTATTGTTCTGTCTATAATAACCATACTAGAAAAAGACTTCAGATTTCAAAATCATCATGTGTGACATATTACGTCAGAGGAAGTTGATGATATTTAAATTAGATCCACTGATTTGGGAGAGGGATAGAAGGTTATAGGAGCGTTGTTCAGTTTAAAGGTTGTGTGAAGGAAGCATACACAAATATGTATTGAACAATTACTCTGAGATTATTCCTTAAATACGGTAAAACACGTTTAGAGCAACTACCCTAATAATTATATAATAAATTCATACTTGCAGCGATTACAACTGCTATCCATCAATGAAATAAACTGTATCACCACTGGTTAAGTAAACATTGTTGTTGATTGGTGATACAATGGAAAAGCATCCGATAATGATACATTACATTATTTCAATTTTTTAAATCTCTTTGCTTGTAAAAACAGCAGTTTTTAAATAGTTATTTGAACTGTTGAGTTTATAGTTTTATTTGAAATGAAAGTACTTGGTCAATAGTAAAGTCGAAAATAGATACGTATGTGTATATAGACTATCAAAATGGAAAAAGCATTTGAATTTGTATTACAGGCATTTGCTAAAGTTCCAAAATGGGCATTAGATATATTTGATACAGACCCAGATTCCAGAAGTGAGAAAGACTGCAGGCGGATCCATGCTCTTCTTAGGGGTCTGAAAAGCTTCGACAAGTTTACAGAACGAATACAGCTTTATATGTGTAGAGCATTTCGTTATCAGAGGTACCGGTATCAATGATAAACACATATACATCAGGTATCAACTACAAACAATATTATTTAAGTGAATGTTTTGAGTAAAAATTGAGATAACATACATGTACCATATTTTTTTTGCAGTGTTGAACCAGGTAGAGTCATCCTAAGACGAGGACATGTGGGAATTAACTTTTATTTCATATATTCCGGTTCCGTTTTTGTAAATGTTGATGACATTGATTCTAAAGGAGACCATTTCGAGAAGACAGAAACAGTACTTGTAAGAGGAGATTCTTTTGGGGTAAGTAAAAGAAAAATTGATCTAATTCTACTAGGTTATTGTTAATCATAATTATCTACAAAAGAAGAAAATTTCAACTGCTGTGCAGAACTACATATTTTTTTTTTAAAAATCTTACTATAAAATCACATATTTTCGCAGGTCAAAATATCGTGCTTTGAGGAGAAAATATTGGTTGGTTGGGATTTGAATTCATGGATGAAGAAATGTTTAGTTGTTTATTTTTTTCATGAAATTTTACATTACATTGCAGTTATAAATTCCTGTATATTGGGTTTATATCACCCATTTGATTCGATACGCAAGAGCATCCTCCACATACATGTACGAACAATTTCTAGAACGAGAAAAGCTTTTGTCAACAGTCGCGTTTAAAGTCATCATTTGGCAAGTTCTAGAGTCGATACAATGATCTTCTCAGCAAATACAATCGATCATTAACTCGAAAACTGACTGACGTTTTCTATACCAGTCGTTAGGTCATTATTTAAACACTGAATGTCTACGGATTTTCCATTGCCCAATCATGACAATGAGCACACGGCAGTGTTACCGGTCGATAGGGGATGCTTAATCCTCTATGGCACCTGATCCCGCCTCTGATATTTTTGAAAGGTCTCTGTTTGCTCTGCTCCCGATTTGTATTTTTTCAATGGACTTATGAGCTAGATTACTGTTCCTTATCTCCATATCTCATTTCTTCATACCACGAAAACAACGGAAATTAAAAAAAAATAAATATATATATATATATGATTTTAAAGTATGTTTCCCTTGCACAATTTAGGTAAATTCGAAAGGATATATGAAAGATTACTTATCTACACATTTTCAGGTGTTGTAGAATTATTTTACATATTTATAATCCCAATGTTTAGGAATTAGCATTACTGCAAGATATCCGACGCACTGCCACCATTACTTGCCGAGAGACATGCGAAGTCTTGGTGGTTGATAAGGAAACTTTTGCTAAAGTCTGCCCCAGCATCTTTCAGGAAGAACTGGAAGAAAAAGAAAAATTTCTGACGTAAGTCTTAATCTTCGATTACCAGTATATCGCCGTAATGTTATACCGAGACATAAAAAAATCCCAAAAAAGGAATTTGAATGAAATACCATAGCTTTCATTTAAAAAAAAAATCAAATGAAAAATTAAATATGAGATATTTGAATGTTGATTGAAATTGTAATTTTTACAGTCAGTTGACGCTATTCAACTCCAAATATTGGACAAAAGACATGATGAGAGCGCTTTGCAATGACGCACAAATCCAGGAGGTATATAGGATACTCTTCAATCTCATTTTTCTTATTTAAACCCTGATTGAAATTCTTTTCAACATTTTTCTTCCTTTATGATTTCCATGTTTTTGTATGATTGATCTGAATTGAAGATGATTATATTTACAGTATAAGACTAATAAAGTTGTTGCCACAGACAGGAGAGATGAGGAATGGATATACATCTGTATGCAGGTACATGTAATGTAGAAAGCTATATGTGTATCCATATTATCTTAAGATTCTACTTATTGGCTTTTCTCGTGTAGGGACATAGTAAACAAGGCACCATAGGGCCATCCCTTCATTTTTGTTTAATTACAACATTTGGCCCCTACCATCAAAACTTTTATTCAAATTTGGCTCTTTCATTATCGTCTGAAGAATTTCTGTAAAATAATATTATCAAAAGCTTTTAGGGATGCTATCATTACATATCATTACGTTCATACATGTAGGAAACATGTAATCATTACTTATACCCGGACCAAGATTTTACTATTGTTAACTATATTTTACTATAGTGAAGTATAGTACATGTAAATACTTTGATATTTGAATTACTTTGAAACTTCACTCGATCTTGAACTCTTTTTTTTAGATTTCGAACTTAAAATCTCTTTAATCCAATACCAATGAAGTAAATTTGGAGATAATATGTGAATATGCAAGTAATATTTCCATTTAATACAAGAAAATGTTCATTCAAAAATAGAAGAACTTAAAATATAACAATCTGAGATCCATAGTAAAAATACTTTGATTTACCACATGTATAACAAAAACATTAATTTACTATGTAATTAAAAGTTTGATACTATGGTAAACTATTGTTAACTAATTTAAAAGTATTGTTTTGTAAGGGTGGATCTGGATAAAAATGCATTTATGGAAACATTTTTCGTCAGATAAATTTTCAGACAATATATATTTAATAATTCATATTATTTAATTTCACCTTCCTATACAGGGTAAAGGTCAGGTGATTAGGCGACTGTTGCTGGACGGGCCCTCTACGTCAAAACGTCAAAGAATTAAATCAACTACGTCCATCAGTCGACATAAAACCCCGGAAGTCTTGATAAATCTCTTGGAGGATGACGAACCCGACTCTCAAGACGGTACAGACATATATATCCAGAACAAAGTTTCCATGGGCTTCCATAAAATAATATACAATCAAATTCTTTTAATTGTCTTTATTTCTATTAAAATATAAAACAGAAAACAGTTTAAGGATATGGAAATCGACAGAAAATTGACGTAGGATTAAGGATAGCACTGTTTGTTAAATAATAAAGAAACTAATTTTACGGTTTACTGGTATATGCATGTTTCATATGCGTATATTTTACGATTAACATGATAACTTGGGTACAGATGTTTGGACAATGTAATAAACAAAATGCTTTTAACTACAAGAAGATGTACCATCGTGGAGAGAAATCCTTAGAATTTCATAACATTCCAAAAAAATTATGTTCCTTTCCTCTGGTAGGTAGTAGCTTGTCACCTGGAGAATCGGACGACGAAGAAGGAAAGGAGAAAATGCTGGAGTCTATGTCGTTAGAGTATCGGAAGGACGGGCGAGTACGTACATGTAATTATAATTCACTGAGAACATTATAAACACGAAAATTAACTGTAATTATTAGTTCAAATATTCATTCTGATTTGATGCCATATTTCACTTTTTTAAAGACAGTAAAAAGTTTTAACCGATTATCTACCTTCAGTGTACATGTACTTATTGACTGTAAATAGTTTTAGCTGATTATATTCATTCAGGTGTATTTATTTGATAATCAAAACGTCTTAATAATTATTTAAATTTAGAGAACGAGCTTCTTAACACACTTGAAGTGGGAGGCTGATATACAGGTCTTTGTTGTTATTAATAACTGCATGCTTTTTGCATGACGCTTTACTGCATGTTGCTGTGGAATTTACCTGCAATGAATTAAATTAATTGTTTTGATATGCATGTTGCTGTGGAATTTACCTGCAATGAATTAAATTAATTGTTTTGATATGCATGTTGCTGTGGAATTTACCTGCAATGAATTAAATTCATCTTTTTGATATGCATGTTTTTTTTTTCTCTTGTTAATCGTAGAAAAGATAACCCCTCTAATCTTGGAAGTAAATAAATACATCTAGTTTAAAAAAACAATCTTTATGGCATATAAATTTTCTAAGGTCAGGATCTATAGTAAATGAATTTAGTCCATGATATTTTTGGAGGTAGATCCATTATATCGCCATTAATAATCTAAACTTACCTTTTCCTGTACTTTACGGCTACATGCCTATTTATATTATTTAGAAAATGAAACATTTTCATGGAAATCAATTTTATATTCAATTTAAAATTATTGTAAAGAAGAGGTCGCGAAATATAAATAACCGTTTTCTGAGAGACTGTACGCAATGTGGATACATTTTCTTTAATATAAAAATTCCCATATTGATATTTTCTTCTCCATTTTCATTGAAAATGACAATTTACAATATATTTTTTCGATGTGTTTAGTCAAAGATGTATGTCCAGATAAGCCTTATTTTACCAATCTATGGTTAAAAGCATCATTAAAGGAATTCATTTCATAAATATTAGAAATATGAAAGTACCTTTTATTTACTACATGTAGGCCTTGACCTCAAATTGATACGTCAATTGTTATTATCAGTATTTTTTTCAAATTACCAAATTTAGGTTTTCTTAAGGTTTTTGAGATAAATGAAAAGTTCTAGAGCTGAATCATTCTCGATATTTAATTTCTAACGGTTTACCACATTTTTCACATCAGGCTAATATTTATGTTTTCTTCAAATGCACACAAAGAAATTTCAGCTGAAAGCAAAACAAAATCTAAAAGTTAATATTACAATGCTTAAATTCATTATATAAGCTTGATAACTGTTTATAATCTTCACATTTTTTTTTATTTCCTGTTGCATTTCTGGCAGCAATACTACTTCCAGTAGCATTGACCTAATTAAATCGACAAAGATCACCATAACTAGTGTGTTTTGTATTTAGTCAATCATTTGTTTTAAAAAAATCAGTTTTGAGGCTATATCGGAAAACGGTCTTTGTACTGCAGGTGTCATAACAGTATTTACGTTGAGGTTCACGTCAAAGTATGGCCGACGCAAAAATAATTTCTTAATCTCCTTTCCCGATTCGGGCATTTTTGCACTGGACTGTGGCTGAAATTTTTATGATATGAAAACTTTAATCTTCCTGTATTTATCAGATTCATTAAAATTTGGGCGTGCTGAATTTTCTGTTTACTGTATCTAAGATGGTATTATGTCCTGCACTTGATTTTCAAGCACCTGCTCGACTTCGACCTTAAATAAGCTTGCGTACCTAGCTAGATAGCTATTTTTCTTTTTACCTAAGACGTTTATAAAGAATTAAAAAATTTCAAAAATCTGTTATAAATTAACTCAAAGTTGTATATTTCTGGTAAGAAGATTCAGTAAAATGTTATATACTGTAGTGCAACCTGTACTACATCTCAATTTCTGTACTTTGATTGTCTTTATAAAGAGAAAAAAAGCAATGAAGACTCCAAACCGAGAGGAAATAGTAAAGAAAAAACAAGAAATGGTCATTCATGGTCCTACAACCTTAACCTCTCTCATGTCTAAGGACAAAGAAAACACAGCATCTGAATTTATTTACCTCCACATAGACACCGTGAGCAAAGAGGATGTGTTTGTAAGTTTATAGATACTAAAGTTCGTTATCAATATGTATAGATGTACATGTATGTTGAATTCGACAATTTACAAATTACATAATCAATGTCATGAACTCACAAGGAGCGAATTTTTCTTAGTCTTTTAAAGAAAAATATATTTGACAATTTTTTTTTCTCCACATCAATAAAGATACTAAGATTCATAATAAAATATAACATATCTTACACTTGCTTTTCTAAGATTTTTATAAGCTTTGCTTTATTACCAAACAAAAATTAACTTTTATTTTATTAGGATATTTATTCCATCTTGCACCACGTGACCTCCCCACCTGACAGTGATGTTTTGCTGGTCAGTGGCGGAGCTCGCTTCCTGCGTATCAAGAAAAGAAACTTTTTCCAAATCTGCTCCAGGGAGGCGCTAGAACAATCGAAGAGGATTGCCATGAGATCAAGGTTAGTATTATATTCTACCAAATTTAGAAAATGTTTCAATTTAAATTTTAAAAGACTTAATTTTATAGAGTTTTGTATCACTTACAGTCGTTTTTTCTAGGTAAATACTTCTTTGTTGAATCACTGAATTTCCTTTTGTCGCATCAATATTCTATTCAACAACAATCATTCCATATATACTAGTAGTTGGCTATTATTTCATTGCACTATATATATATACAGACCCTGAAACGCTGAACGAACGGTACACGCTCGCTACACGGTTTGCACGAAACGCTGCACGGTTTGCACGAAACGCTACACGGTTTGCACGAAACGCTACACGGTTTACACGAAACGCTTTGCACGAAAGGCTGCACGGTTTACACGAAAGCCTGCACGAAACGCTTTGTACACGTTTCTCACACGCTTTGTACACGATTCTCGCACGCTTTGGCCTCGGTCTGGATTTTCTATTCGGAATCTTTCGGACTTTATTTCAATTATTACGGATTAATCAAAGATTAGTTAAGAATTGCAATTTAGATTAAGTTAAGATTAAAACTCGCTACACCAGTACTATATTAAGAGATAAAACATTCAATGTTCAGTTGTAATTAATAAATAGTTGTCATTGAGTATGTGACCCGCCCGGTGAAATACTTATTATCGTCTGTGTACAAACCTTTTTTCACTAGATTCTAAATTACGCACTGAAAAAAAAATTATATTTGTAAGTCATAATCTTTTACAGCATTTGATGTTTTTCCAATTATAGTTTGATATTAAATAAATGTTTATTACTGACAGTTAAACTTAGCTATTGATTTGAAAAAAAAAATGATTAAATTGCGTATGATTTCTTTAAACGGATTGATTTTCTTTTCCTTTTTTTTTTATTATTGATTGATTTATACATTTTTTGATTTAGTAAAAGGAGAAATTCATCTGATTAAATTAAGTTCTGTTTATAATTTGCAAAGGTAATATGTTAACTGCATCTAACAGAAACATGCGGGGGGGGGGGGGGGGTACCGAGATCTTACTGTTGTATCTTCAAATCTGTACATATAACGGGCACTTGTTTCAGTAAGTATACCATCGGAAAAAAATGTATTATAGAAACAAGTGCCCGTTCTAAGAAACAAGAGGCCCAAGGGCCTTAACGGTCACCTGAGTATAATACAACAATTTAGAAGTTAAATACACTGATAGATGAAGCATTGTTGCCCTAGCCCCCCCCCCCTCCTCAAGAACCCCAAAAACTGAGGCCATATATTTAAAAATTTTGGAAGAGGCATCCTTGTCTATCATAATCATGCACTTAGTTTGCTTAAATAATCTCCAGTAGCAGAGAAGTTTTTCAAAGAATCAATGCATTTTCACTATATAATCAATAGAGCCCCGCCCTAACACCAGAACCCCTGACCCTGGGGCCATGAAATTCACAATTTTTGAAAAGGCATCCTTATGCGTTTAAATAGTCTCCAGTAGCAGAGAAGAAGATTTTCAAAGAATCAATGCATTTTCACTATATAATCAATACAGCCCCACCCTAACACCAGAACCCCTGACCCTGGGACCATGAAATTCACAATTTTTGAAAAGGCATCCTTATGCATCATAACCATGCACTTAGTTTGTTTAAATAATACCCAGGAGCAGAGAAGAAGATTTTCAAAAAATTAAAGCATTTTTACTATATAATCAATAGAGCCCCGCCCTAACACCAGAACCCCTGACCCAGGGGCCATGGCTTTCACAATTCTGGAAGAGGCCCACCTCCTCATCATAACTACGTACTTAGTTACTTTATTAAATACCCAGGAGCAAAGAAGAAGATTTTCGAAGAATTAATGCATTTTCACTATATAATTTATAGAGCCCTGCCCTAACACCAGAACCCCTGACCCTGGGGCCATGAATTTCACAATTTTGGAAGAGGCACTCTTGCTCATCATAACTATGTACTTAGTTCCTTTATTTAATACCCAGGAGCAGAGAAGAAGATTTTCAAAGAATTAATGCATTTTCACTATATAATCAATACAGCCCCACCCTAACACCAGAACCCCTGACCCTGGGGCCATGAATTTCACAATTTTGGAAGAGGCACTCTTGCTCATCATAACTATGTACTTGGTAACTTTATTTAATACCCAGGAGCAGAGAAGAAGATTTTCAAAGAATTAATGCACTTTCACTATATGATCTATATAGCCCCACCCTGGGGCCAGAACCCCTGACCCTGGGGCAATAAATTTCACAATTTTGGAAGAGGCACTCTTGCTCATCATAACTATGTACTTAGTTCCTTTATTTAATACCCAGGAGCAGAGAAGAAGATTTTCAAAGAATTAATGCACTTTCACTATATGATCTATATAGCCCCACCCTGGGGCCAGAACCCCTGACCCTTGGGCCATGAATTTCACAATTTTGGAAGAGGCACTCTTGCTCATCATAACTATGTACTTAGTTCCTTTATTTAATACCCAGGAGCAGAGAAGAAGATTTTCAAAGAATTAATGCATTTTCACTATATAATCAATACAGCCCCGCCCTAACACCAGAACCCCTGACCCTGGGGCCATGAATTTCACAATTTTGGAAGAGACAGTCTTGCTCATCATAACTATGTACTTAGTTCCTTTATTTAATACCCAGGAGCAGAGAAGAAGATTTTCAAAGAATTAATGCACTTTCACTATATGATCTATTTAGCCCCACCCTGGGGCCAGAACCCCTGACCCTGGGGCCATGAATTTCACAATTTTGGAAGAGGCACTCTTGCTCATCATTACTATGTACTTAGTTCCTTTATTTAATACCCAGGAGCAGAGAAGAAGATTTTCAAAGAATTAATGCATTTTCACTATATAATCAATACAGCCCCGCCCTAACACCAGAACCCCTGACCCTGGGGCCATGAATTTCACAATTTTGGAAGAGACAGTCTTGCTCATCATAACTATGTACTTAGTTCCTTTATTTAATACCCAGGAGCAGAGAAGAAGATTTTCAAAGAATTTATGCACTTTCACTATATGATCTATATAGCCCCACCCTGGGGCCAGAACCCCTAACCCTGGGGCCATGAATTTCACAATTTTGGTAGAGGGCTCAATGCTTATTACAATGATGCCAACAGTTTGACTGCTTCATGTCCGGGAGTAAAGAAGAAGATTTTTAAAGATTGCATTATTTTTGGTGGTTTTAGCCCCATCCCTCAGGCCCCCGGGGGGCAGGGACCATGAAATTCACAATTTTTGTTTCCCTTCACCCATAGATGCTATATACCAAATTTGGTTGAAATTGGTTGAGCGGTTCTAGAGAAGAAGTTAAAAATGTTCAAAAGTTAACGCACGACGGACGACGCACGACGCACGACGACGGACAAAAACAGATAGCAATAGGTCACCTGAGTGACTCAGGTGACCTAAAAAAGGATACCCTTATATCCAGCGGGACCCGATACATGTAATTCATTCAATGCTCTTTATTCAGAATGGTACATATATCATTTCATTACAGAGTTAAACTTTAATTAATCATTATATGGTAGAGAAGCCGGGGGATAGGTATTGTGACTCTTTAGTTCTCTTTTGAGGCATTGTGTTTATCAAATAGAAACAATATTATACCCACCATCTTTTAAAATCCTTGATTTCCAACCCCGTCTAGAAAAAAAATCAATAATTTTGTAATCAATAGTCGCGACTCTTCACAATACATTCAATATATATACATGTCCAATGTCCTAAAAACTAAAAAATAATTATGCTCTAGAACTGCGTGATTAATAAAACAACTAATATATGATTATTCAGGATTTATTTTATTCACGAATGCACTGGCAAACTAATTCACTGTTTACAGACAATAGGATACATGTAAATTTAAGAAATAAAATTCACGGGTATTTTATTATACCCATTAAATACTAATAAAACTGTTAAATTTCACGAATTAAAAATCAATCGTTATTTTCGGGTGTCATCTTAGCTATGATTGACAAGAAATAATTGCAGAACAAGTTTTCAGTCCCGGCACGCGGAGCCCGTGATCGCTGTTGTAAATGACCTTGATCACGGTCGTAAGAAGAGTGTTGAAAGTGTAAAGAAGATTCCAAGATTTTTTAAGGGGTGCATCGGGTGCACCCTGAAAAAAGCATTAAATTATTTTAAAAAAGAAAATTATCAATAAAAGACTTGTTTACAACAAAAACTCAGTTAGTATTTTCATTTGATCCCCCCCCCGGAAATATTTAACCCTGTATTTGCCGATGCACGTGAATTATAATTCATTTATATGACTATTATTAATCAGCCAATTTTATGCATAAAAAGACAATAAATGATTCCTCGTTTCAAAATTATTTGTATCACAATCTTATAATATAAGAAAATTATGTTCGTTTACAAAGAAAATCAGTAAACTGTGCTCCCCGGCCTAGAATTCCAATACTTCACATTTATATCAACACACTAAATTTTGCGTTTTATTTTTCACGCCTGCCATATCTATCTATTATTTCGTATTAATCACCGATATTTTCTTATAATCCCACATCCCATAATTGTAAATTGGTGAGGAGATTCAAATAAATGAATGAAAAGGACAAGACCGGATTCCTTATGAATTTTCTTTTAAAAAATGTTCTGTATTGCTCCCTTTAAAAAATGTATTGAATCAAATACCTTAAAATTTATGTGCATATAATTAATTACTTTTAACACATTTTCTGTCGACCATCTTTATTGAAATAAAAAAGAAAGAAACTCAAACAAATATGTAATACATTACCGAGTAATTTTATTTTGTTGTTTCCGTATTTTTTTTTCACTCTTAAAATACCACTGGTATGATATATCCGAATAATATTAGTTACAAACACCACGGAATGAGATGTTGATCCATCAATAACCATATTTAAAATAAAAGGACTTCCGAATGAATCCTAAACGTTTCTCACACGATTCTTGCACGAAAGTCGCACGTTTCTCACACGGTTCTTACACGAAAGTCGCACGTTTCTCACACGCTTCTCGCACGCTCGCTACACGGTTTGCACGAAACGCTTTGGAGCTTACACGAAACGCTGCACGGTTTACACGAAACGCTACACGCTTTGCACGAAACGAAAAGCGCACGAAAGTCACACGCTTTTTGGGGGTAGTAGCACGTTTCAGGGTCTGTATATATATATATATATATATATATATATATATATATATATATATATATATATATATATATATATATTATAGATAGATAGATATATATATATATGTATGTATGTATGTATGTATATTTATATGTTGAAGTCTTTTTAATTCATAAGAGTATGTTATACTTTTCATTCTAACATCTTAGTTTGAAGATGATATTTTTTCCCAAAATATTAATAAATTAAGTGAGGTAATTCTACTCCTTCTAAAACTCGAGATTTTTAACTAATGATTAAATATTAGTGCTTTTATAATTGATCTATTAATCATTCCTTGAGTATTGCAATATTAGTCACATATCCTTTCTGGTTCGCATTAAAACCTTGAAAAAGGTCCTAACTCCATACAAAAAAGAATAGCGAAGCGTCCCCGAAATGAGAATTTGATCTGTAACTATTCAAGGTAAACCAACATATGAAAATCAACTCAATATCTACAAGCGTGTAGAAAGGATGGGACTGACTGACATACTAAGAAACAGCTAGACAGACAGACAGACAGACAGACGGACGGACGAACAGAGAGGATGTCCTTAGCCCCCTCTTTCACCATAAAGTGACTAAAAAAATTATTGAATTCTGGGATTGATTATAGCAATTTGAATTTTAGGCAAATTTTGCTATAATATCTTGATGGGTATAAATTGAATTTTGATTAAAGATGTACATGTTGTTTTAAATTTGATATTCAATGTATTATAATTCATTTTAAATATTATTTTATTCATTTTAGTTATATCGATCTTCGATTCAATAACAGATTTTTTTCTTACTGACATTTATGTGTTTATGTATGCTTTGTTTGTAAAACAGCTGTACTATAATAATTGAGTGTAGTTATACAATCAAATATTATAAACTACACTACTTACAATTGTTTAGATACCCAACAAACAACCAACTGTTGACGTCATACACGGAGAAATTCCACTGGGACAATTACAAAAATGTAGTGGTGGATCAAGTGATCAGACCTCATGTGGAGCGTCAAACACGGTTCAAAAATAGTCCTGATCTACAATCCTCTATCATTAACTTTCAACGACAAAGAACAATAGATCTGATAAATACATTAAAACAACATTCTCAATAAACCGATATTCAATCTAAGTTATGAGTACTTAATGATAACATCTGCCTCTTTTGTTCCATTTTTAATCAAGGATACTGAGTAACTAAAAAGACTACTGTGTACAGCAGGCAATTTAACTTGACATGATTGTGTATATATGAAGTTCATTTTGATTTTTCTGTACATGCTTAAAGGAAATAAATAATTGAAATTTGTTTCTTTTATTTTGAAAATGTGTATTTACATGTAAAACACTATGTTTTGTAAATGATCAAATTGTCATATGTAGAGTTGATTGCATGGAAAATTTTAATAAGTGTATCAAACTTAAGTTAAAAGTTCTGAAAAAGGGATTATTTTGGTTGGCGATACACAAAAAGAATGGGTGTGCAATCTGATAATTATTAGTTATTATTATGTACAAACAAGACACTAATACTATTACACGGCAAAAATACATTTGCTGTGTTCTTTTCTAAACCAAATATGAAAATATTTCGAATATCATTTTATCACTTCCGTGTATACACAAGCGTATACACATGAGGAAAATTTGCGCTAAAATGGCGAAACATTGAAGGGAGAAATTCAAATCTTGTGTGAATTTTTGCTGCTTTTAAATATGTAAAATGTAAGTATAAGATTTTTTTAGTTTTGTGAAAGTTCTTGGTAAGTGAATTACACAGACTCATGAACGTAGCCTTATTTTTTTATGAAGCGCTTGCGCGCTTCATGAAATATGCCTATGTACATGTAACAAGTTTGTGTGATTTATACACTGGTCAATAACTTTCACAAAACTAAAAAAAATCTCATTTAAATGTTTGAGGATTCTTAGTTCCAGTCTTACTTCGATAACCGGAATCTCGAATACCATGGATACATGTATATCGAAGTGATTTGAAGATCCAAAGAACTTTTTTTCATTTATTTATGTATTTTACACCCAATATCTCAAATTCTAGGATGTCGCGAAGTTTTTTTGTCGGTCCCATCGAGTTTGAGTTTGAGTTTGATTGTTTTTATATTCTTTATATACTTAACGTTTCTTAATTTTACATGTACATGTGGTGAATATTTTGAATAGAGAGAAGGATTGAAAACAAAAAGGATTGAAAAACAAAACATATTTGATCTATTATATGAGAATAAGAACATTTTTTAAAAATAATTGTTCACTCAAATATGTTAAAAGAATGAAAAAAATGAAAAAAGATTTTATTTGTCTTAAAATCATATTTATTCAATAGATTCTAAAACTGTACAGTAAGACCTTAAATATAAATTTCATTTAGTTCAGAAAGTCCTTGATGACTTCGATTGTTTAAGAAAATGTGAACTTATTTCATTATTCTGTCGTAACTTGGAAAGTATACGTTTTCCTACGCTGCGGTTCTGCCAAAAATATGCATATAGTCTATGTTTTATTCTTAAGTCTACGTTTATCTTTTCTATGTATGAAATACATGGAGATAACGAACAGTATTCAAGCTCAAAAGTCCATTAAACCTTAAAAAATAGGTGCAGAGCAAACACGGACCTCCAAAACATCAGAGGTGGGATCAGGTGCCATGGAGGAATGAGCATCCCCTGCCGACCGGTCACACCAACCGTGTGCTCCTTATGTTGATCGGGAAATAACGGAAAAATCCGTCGACAATTCAGTGTGCAAATAATGGCCTAACAATTAGTATGAAAAACGTCAGTCAGCATTTGACTCAATGATAAATTGTATTTGCTGACAAGGTCATTTTATCGACCATAGAACTTACGAAATGATGGCTTTAATCGAGACTACTGATATTCTTGTTTCATCAACTTGTTTGTCAATAATTTACATCGTTTTAGAAATTGTACATACGTAGAGCATGCTCTTGCGTATCGAATCAACTGAGAGATATATACCCCGTATGCAGGTGATGAAGGTATATTGCTGCATAAGTAAGGGAAGTTGACGATTGAAAAGTTAAAGGCATCACTTTTATCATAAAGATTGGTTGTCTTTTAAAAGTAAAATATCCAAATATGAAACAGATGTGTCAGACTCTGTAGTATCTTTTATCTCAAGCTCACCGGGATATATCGTATCGACATAAGAATGGAAATAACCATTTTTAATTGACAATACGCCGTCGATATATCTAAATGTCGAGTTGAAGGCCACAGCAAGTGTTTTGTTCTTTTCACGTATAAGATTCTGGACAAATTCTGCTTCATATGAATACAAAAAAAGGTCTGCTAATAACGGGGCGCAATTGGTATCCATGGGAATTCCAATAGATTGTTGGAAGACCTGGCCTCCAAAAACCACATAGATCTTGTCAATCAGAAACTCAAGCATCTTTTTAATGTCAACTTCAGAGTACTTGTGTGCACAATCAGAACGTTTTTTAACAAAATAATTTTGCAAATGACCAATGACAAGGTAAGTAAATTTACGAGTTCCATTTTTATTGAAAAAGCAGCTGTCAATGATATCAAAAAGCCTGGGTTTTAATTTATCATGGGGAATGGTTGTGCATAAAGTTGAAGAATAAAATATGTCAAAAGGTACAATGGTAAGGAGAAATAAAAAGAATGATCTTTTAAAACTCTTTTAAATCTTTGAAATTGCTGACAGCTCAATATAAAGGACATTTATGCGATTATACTTTGAATAATTTATTTAGTCAGAAAACTGATCAGATCAGCCCCTCCTTAAGCCTACGTGATTGGCATCCATATTTGGGTGTATATGTTTTTGTTTGTTTGTTTGTTGTTTAACATCCCTCTCGAGAATTTTTCATTCATATTGCCAGGCCATTACTTGCCGGTGTAGGACTTCAAATTTCAACCTGCACTTGGCACTTACTGGCTTTGAGGATTGAGGGGTCTTTTTCGTGCCAGCACCCACTGCGACAAGTGACCTCGGCTTTTTATACAGTCTCATCCGAAGCACCGGTCTCCACAGTCCCGCAGTGGGATTCGAGCGCGCGACGTAAGGATACATATGTAAAATTATTACTTTAACCGAAACATATCCTAAATACACAATGTAAAATAAAATTCTTTTGCAAAATGTAATAGATAGACAAAAAAGAAAGCTAATTGAATGCATTGAGAAATTCTCTTTAGTACATTTACATTGACGACATTTAACGACACTAGAACCTACATAATTAAATTACATATTAAATTACTGATAAAGAACAAAATTAATATAGATATACCCTTCTCGTTATATTCAAAATATTAAAATCCACTTAGATTTCAACAGACTCAAGTCCTGGAAACGTTAACTGACAAGAGAGAAATTAATTGTCTTTGCTTCTCCTTTCATTTTCTCTTTCTCTATGTCTGTCATGTTGCTCTCTGTCTCTTTCACGACGGTCCTTTTCTCTGTCAAGTTCTCTTGATTCGTTGACTTCTCTCTCCCGTTCTCGCTGATTAGCTTTTCGGCTCCTTTGAATTCTCAGGTGGTGTTGGTCTCCACCAGATTGTGCTGCATACGCACCGTTGAATTGTTGTAATATTATCAATATTACCAAAAGTAGTAAAATTTTACAGGAATCCTAAAAGTAAGAATTTTTATTAATAGTTGTTTACAAACATTTATTTAAAACATTAAAATAACTAACGTACTCGAATAGATTCACGTTTATATACATAATTATTTTTTGGTAGTAAATTAAACAATTAAAAAGAATATATCAAGATTTTGCACGAAGAAGTAAGTTCTTTTATCTAAATTGAATAAAGTAATATTTATTTGCGATAAAATTGTATTTACCATACTTTCCGCTCACGTTGGTAGTTTTTCAAACAAAAGGGTTCCCTTTGTGTTCCTCCTATACGTTATATAGCTACGTATAAATACCTGAATGTCTATTCCTTAAAGCGCTTTTCAAGTCAATTAATTATTGCTCTTTTGAACTGCTTTTTTTGTACCATCCTGATACTTGCACATTTTTGCTGATGCTTTGTAGCTGTGCAGTGAATTATGCAACACTGCATTATATACGTACGTTTGTCCAATGCAATTGTTTCATAACAGGATCCGGTTTATCCTTGTCTGAGTAATTACTTCTCTATATGTGAGTTTTGCAAGCGGAATAAAAGCTGGACATTTGGTACTTTTCATCTGTTTGAAGGGCGATGGGTGAATCAGATGTCTTTTGAAAGCTTATGATATAAAGAAATTGTAAATATCTTCTTAGCTACCGGAATCCCCATTTAATGTACAATAGAATAGAAATTAATGACATTTTTTTCCTGATAAAGATGTCTTACATATTTTTAGCGTATCATATACAAATAAGTCAACCTTCTGTTTATTAACAATTAGATGTACATCGTATTCGCATTTTACTCTGTCCGCTTGAAACTTTTATACGGACTTTTAAAAGAAGCTGAAACAACTCTATGTACAACTCTATGTACCTGTACATATATACATAAATTCTTCAACTCCCAATTATGGATATTGCCCAGAGGAGACTCTTTAAATCGCAATGTATCACAACAAGTAATAATAATTCAGAATAAGCCCGTTGGTTCGTTAAGCTTAAATTATAACAAATTAAAGGTATAGATGCTGTAAACACTAATTTAAAAGCATTATTTGTCATAAAAGATCAGTATTATATTCCACTATATTTTAGGGCTACACTTTAGAATTCCTAAGGATATATCCCAACTGTTGCATCCAAGCCCTTAATTTTTTTTTCATTATTTCACGTCCCTTTGAGAATTCTTCACTCATATTGAGACACTACCACTGGCCGATGGAGGGCTGCAAACTTAGACCTGTAGTCGGTTCGAAGAACCGGTCGCCGCGTCACACGATGGATTCCAACCGTCGACATAAGGATTAACTCCTTACTCCATGACTCGAAAGCAAACGCTTTATTTGATGTTGATGAAACAAGGATATCAACAGTTTCGTTTGAAGTCATCATTTCGCAAGTTTTATTGTCGATGCGGTGACCTTGTCAGCACATACAACCTAACATTGAGTCAAATGCTGACTGACGTTTTTCATACTAATTGTCAGGCCATTATCTATACACTGAACTATCTATGGATTTTTCCGGTTCCTTTTTTTCCCGATCATGACAAGGAGCACACGGCGGGTGTGACCGATCGGCAGGGGATGCTCACTCCTCCATGGCACCTGATCCCACCTTTAAATTTTGAGGTCCGTGTTTGCTCTGCTCCAAATTTGTATCGTTTCATTGGACTTTCGAGATTTAATACTGTTCGTTATCTTCTTATTTCATCCACTTCATTGAATAATAAATAAACTCTTTAGTGCATAGATTTTGACCATTAAAAAATCCTCCTATGCTTTCTTATTCTTCCTCTTCTTTCATCTTTAGTTCTGCTGGACATAACATTACTGGAGATGTTTGGGAATGACCTGAAGCTACTGGAGATGTGAATACATGTACATTTTGAAATGACCTGAAGGCAATTATATTAATTATTTTAAAAGGTTCTAAATTAATGGAGGTGATCTCTGAACTTCATTTCTATGATAAATTCCGTCAAGGAATATGCCAGACAATAGGCTTAATATAAAGGGGAGGACAACGAACTCCGTGTTTTTTTTTTTTTTTAGAATAAAGAGTTTTAGAAATATATTAAATAATCGTACTAGAAAATTAAAGTGAATGTCTGGTCAGAATTTTATTATCTGTAAATAAAGCATCACCTTTCATGTATAAAGAACAGCAGCATCGTATTGCACTGCTGAAAACATTAGTTAAATTTGAAACTGATCGACTAATTGGAAGTGCAAGCGGAAATCCTTATCATAACAGCTGACGTAGTGAGGATACTTCAAATCCTAGATGATATATTCTGTCAATATATTTACGGTTGCAGAGTAATGAAATTCCTTACATCTTAATGAGCTTATTCAGGCATAGATTTATTATACGACAAAGATAAACATCTATCCCAGATAGATTTTATCTTTTCAAAATTTGGCATTTGAATCAAGTGATAAACACAACCTATCTCAAGATATATAGCTGAATGTCATTAAATGGGAAATTCTTCCTTTATTTTTCTCAGATCTTAAGCACTAGAATCATTTGTATGTAATATTATATGTCCTTTATTACATTCAGATTCACAATAAAAATGAAATGAAATGGAGCCAATATGCCTGGAAGTTTTCATAAAAGTGAGGATTGTGGGGAATATATAGGAAGCGCGATAACTTTATCTCTCAACATGGCAGCCTCAGCACACTTTCATGCCTTCTGTCAATATAACTTAAAAAAACAAATCTCAATATCAGGTAAAATTTATCAATGGCCAAAAAGCTGAATAGACAAAAAGTTGTTTCAGACCTGAAGTTCCCTTTAAGGGAAGAGCTAAATGAACTGTATGTATTGGTTTCAGCTGACTAAGCTTCTTAAAATATAATCTATGCTTGTAAGGCTCATTAGTACATTTGCATCCTTTAAGAATTTGGTTTTAATTCTACCTCTGGTATCTAACTGAACTGACTATGGATTTATCCTTTTACTTATTCAAGAAAAAGGGCGGGTGTGACTCTTACAACTCCATAGCACCAGATCTCATCTCTAAAGTTGACAGATTTCCTTGATTGTTCTGTTTTCAATTTATGATTTTTTATTTGGACTTTTCAGGACGATTATACTGTTCATTATCTTTAAAATTCATTATACCTACATGTACTTCCTTTTCAAAATGACATTCTTCATATTCACTTTCAGCTTCAAATACCCTTATATTTCCAGTCAATGAAAGAGAATTTGATTTATATCAATTATACTGGATTCCAAAACCTAACAAATACAATCGAGGATACATTGCGGGGTCCAATTAATGTTCAACCAAGCCTCTGTCTTTATTTCTCACAAAATATTAGCTGTTGTAAAAGAGAGTTTTGACGTACTGGGATCAAACTTATACTAATATTTCGCTTATAAAAGATGAAATTCTTCAAAATTATCCAGACTTTATATATATATATATATATATATATATATATATATATATATATATATATATATATATATATTGTATACTTTAACATCGAGGTCAAGAAGGAACGTAAATAAGATCAAAATTTACAACATGTCATCACTTTATACAACCTTCCTCATTATATATCAAAGACAAGTCTTTTCTGAAATCATAAATAACTGCTTCCTTAAAAGAATTGTACCTTGAATATTTTCATATCTTATGATTTGTCACCTACAAATTTACCTTGTTTAAAACATTCTCATTACCCCGGTATACAAATAGGTATTCCTGACTGACAACTATGTAAGTCTTCCAACAATCTTTTGTGAATTCCTTTCTTTCAATTGTCCATCTTATGAATTTCGACTAGAAATTAGTCGTGTATTACTAAGCAGTGCATTTTCACTCATATTGATCAAATTAATTTGAAGTCTGGCCATAATTACTTTTTTAAAAGACAAAAAGAATTTAAATCGAAGTACAAAGTACAGTAGTGCACATATATAACATACTCGCCTATAAGTCGTTTTTTAGTTAAACTTTGGTCCAAAACTCGATGTCCGACTTATAGGCGAGGTATAAAAAGATTGGTATTTTAGAGGGTCAAGCCCTCTAATATAAACTTACAAAATACAACCAACTTATAGGCGGACCGACTTATATGCGAGTATATACGGTACTAGTATTTGGAAAAGAACTCACTTATTTTGACGTTTATATAAAATAATTATTGTATTTTTATTATCATGCTAACAGCAATTAAGAAAGTCGTCTTTTTTAGGGATGTATCTGATTTAAAAGACACATAGAATGGGAAGAAATACACGGGAATATTAATTATTACAGGTATTTATGTATTAAATAGGTATTTACCACTTGCTAAACTCTGTGAGTTACTGGCCATGATGGTAAACACCATAAAATGATTACCAACTTATCCTAGGGTTAGGTTTGTTTAAAAACGCATTGATACAATTGTATTAATTTAATCCAAAAAAAACCCAAAAAACAATAACTTAGAATACAATCCGTTACACTATGTGTCTCTTCGACCAAGAGGCAAAACATCAAATCACAATTTGTAATCCAGCCCTTATTTCTCTTTAATGCGAAATATCAATTTTTTTAAAACACTTATCTCTGTTTCATTTCCTAAGCATTTTTCTACAAAATACTTAGACTGTCTTTAATCTAAAACCGTTTCCTCGTTGTTTTTTAAGTTATTTAAATTAACAACCCCAGTGTTATTTCCGGTTTTTTTTTTTTCAAGAATAACATGACTCAGCTGAAAAGTTTCTTCTCAACGACTGATCTTTATATACTTAAATCAAACGAGAAAAAAGTCCAAGAGCAAGTTTCAATTCACTTTTATAAAGTTTTTAAACTCTGTGCGAATTTTGACTCTATAATTTCTTAGTGAAACTAAAATGTACTACAAATTTACAGTAACACAAACCCTTTCCTTGTCTTAGTTATGTTATTGAAAAAAAGAATCATTTTATGTTTGATACGTCTGTACAGAAATTGATTTTCTTTCGACATTTTTTGAGAATATGTAAAAGGAAAGGCCTTGGGTACTAACTTTACATTCAGTGTCAAAGATACGTTATTTCTGTGGCTGCATTTCATTGTTGTGTCTGTGGTGTGTGTGTGTGTATTTGTACATAAGGCAACAAGTCTATATCTTATGAAATATGCTTGAGAAAAAAAACGTTAATGAGCTATAAATCTTTACCTAAAGGAAATTCGAAAAGAGAATTTCTTAAATGTTTAAAAAGGTTCTTTATCGTACCACGGATGAAACGATAAAAGGTATTTATCGTGCATACCCGGGTTTATAATTTATTATCCTTGAAGCTTCCCTTATAAAAAGTCAAAGTTATAAATGCTATGTAAATATAAATATGTTTTTAAAAGCATTTTCTAACACAAATATAAACTAAAACACTAAAATCTCATTTTTATTGTAAACACTTTAGAGAACAAACTCTTTTGTACATATCAAAGTATGAATGATCTCCTGCAGTAGATAAAAAGTCACTTTCCAGTTCCGGTAAAATCACTCTTTGGATTTCTTCAAAGGTTGGGTTTGGTGTGCTCCTTTAAAATAAATTCCTTTGTTAGAAGAACACCCGAAAAACTGCCTCAAAAATAATTCTTTTTAAAGTTTACAACTAAGATTTTGCCATACATATTACAAGTATTTATGATTTACCTTTAATGAAATCGAATGTTTCATTGATATAATGTTTTAAACAGATTTATGATACGTACAAAATTTTTGTATCTTGTCCTAATAAACTGAGCATGCATGAGTGACAATACGTCCGAATATCGTCAATGTTACGTAGTTCCTTAGTCTTTGGGGCGAATATGAGGAGTCCAATGCTGCAATTGAAAAAAAAAAAAAAAGAATAACATCTTTCATTTAACAATCGATGGAAGCATTATAGGAATATGCTTTAAAAAGGATATTTTGCGCATTTAATAACATACAAGAGTTTGGATTGCTGATCACTTAGTCTTTCAGAAGGATTACTATAAACGAGATTCTTCAATAAAATCTTCAGACCACGTGGCACAGAAACCGGAAGTTCCGGTATCTCCTGTGACTTGTAACATGGATTCTCTTCAATTGTCTGCTGGAATTTCTTGTCGATTTCCAGAGGAAGAAGAAGCGTGTGTAGCATCCTTCCGACTGCGTAGAGGTCAGATTTTTCATATATACTCATTAGTGTTACCTTAAGAATAAAGAAAAAGTTTTGTAAAGTAAACAAAAATACAAAACCTATATGTTTTAGTCTGCAAGAAGTGAAATAAACCAACTTTAATTGTTAAACATCTTGGATACAATATATAGGCCTACCTCTTACCTACCTCTGCGTGATGTACAATAAACAAACCTTAACTATATATATGTATTATACAACTTACACACCGTATATAGGCCTACCTAGCTCTGCGTAATGTAAAATAAGCCACTTTAACTACATGTATAATATATTATACATCTTACACACCGTATATAGGCCTGTCTACCTCCATGTGATTAGAAATAAGCAAAGTAACGACATCTCGTTTACGCTATGAGAGTAAATTGTTTCATACTTCTGAAAATCGTTACTATATAGTCAAAAGCATGCTCCGAAAACGATCGATTTTAAACTGAGGCAGGCTACTGATAGATAACTTGATGTTACAGGGATTTCACCAACCTCATTTAAAGTCATCATGACCTTGTTAGCCAGTATAGCCTATCATTGGACTGACATATTTCATGCCTGTTGTTAGACTTCTGTTTTTTACTAATTTTGACTACGGAATATACCGTTTACCTGACTAATACATAGATCGGGTATGACCGATCGACAGGAGATGCTTACTCCTCCTATAGGCACCTGATCTCACCTCTGGAATTTCCGGAGGCCTGTTTCTTAAGCCCTAATTCAAGGAGATGTTTTTTTTTTGGGGGGGGGGGGGTGGGGGGGGGGTAGGGTGGGGGGGGGGGGTCGATCACTGTTCGTTATCTTCACTTTTTTCATCAATCTGTGTTGAGTACAATCATTCCATCTTTGTATATATCTGATATATTTATATTTAGGAATCTTCTAATTTTTAAAATGAATTTTATGGAACCTTTAAATTTCTACGTATTATAAAGGAACATGCATACATCACAAACCTGGCTTGCACTAAAATAAGCAAATCTTGACACCCGGAAGTCGCTCTAAAAATACGTTCTCTATATTAACACACATTTTCCCCATTGACTTTTCCCAATGACATTTTTAGTATTAAAGGAAGAAGAATTTGGGCATTACATAAGGATAATCCTGTCTCGATTACGTAATATGTCTCAAACGATAAAAGCAGCCCCTTGTGTTTCCTTCTATTTTTTTGTTTAAAGATAAACTTATGATAACTTTATAAATATTTGAATACATCCTTCCCACTGAGAGAACAAAATGATATATTATGCAGAAAAGCTTACACATCACTCTCAATCTGACAATATCTATTCTTGTATGTCGCATGTACTGTCTTTATAGAAGCACAAAGTATTCTTTTTAAAATACATTTCTATAATATAGGATACGTTTATGCTTCGTCAATACGTAGCAATTGTCTCTATTAGAAACAAATCCCGAAAACCGAAGTTTAAAAATTAATGAAATAAAGATATGGTGAATATAATAACCCTAAATCTTGCAATCAAATACCATCATTCCTTGGACATATTACAGGACAAACAGACGCTAAATGCCACCGGCAGGGTCAAAATAGAGCTATAACATAAGTTTAAACTTTCCACACAGCAAAACAGACAAATAACTTGATATCAGCAAAAGTGCACACATACTTTCGTTTGTTTGTTTGCATGTTTTTCAACATCCCTCTCGAGAATTTTTCACTCATACGGAGACGCCACCACTTGCCGGTGGAGAGCTGCAAATTTTGTCATATACTTACGGCCATTGAGCAGTGAGGGATCTTTTTCGTGCCAACACCTACTGCGACACGGGACCTCGGTTTATACGGTCTCATCCGAAGGACCGGTCTCCACGTCCCACAGTGGGATTCGAACCCGCGACGTAAGGATCAACTCCTTACTTTGCGACCCTAGAGCAGACGCTCTAACCACTGCGCCACGCGGGCGACCATACTTTCGTAAATCAGATAGTAAGATTAGTTCTCTAATTATGCCGTTATTTTTTATCGGTAAGCTAAAGCTAATTCGGACTAATTCTTTCTATATGCACGAATAAATTGTTTTTTACTTATTCAGGTGTATTCATAACTACAAGTGAAAATATCTTTACAAAAATATGTGAAAATACATCCCATTTCTGGTATTTTCCGTGCACATTTTCCCATCCCATGTACTATAAATTAATTTAAATACCATGTACTTTGTTTTTCATTTTCATTATAAAATTTACCTTCTTTGATATCAGCTGCGGTGCATTACTATTGTACTGTAAAAGTTCAGGTGCCCAAGCATTTGAATTTCCCGCCATAATTTGACATTGCTCCTGAAGCACCACCTGCTGATTGTCGTTGTCAAGAACACACGCAGCCATATCAAAATTTCCAATCACCGGACAAAAACGTTCGGTCATGTACACATTTCCCGGATGTAGGTCTCTGTGGACTATTCCATGTCGCTTCATATAACAGAGTGCAGACAGGATCTGGTAAACTATACATAGGAGAAACTCATCCGTTAACCCGTATAAAGGAACCGGGGTCACTCCCCGCAGTGTTGTTATGAAAGACTGAAGGGTATGGGAATAATGCTCCGTCACAAGGAAAAAAGCCTGTCTTGGAATTTCAGTGGAATTCGACGATCCTCGTGGCTGTGGAACTAGCACTGATAAAAATTTGCGAAATCTATCCGTTGTTCCTCGAAAGACGTGCAAGGATTTCAGGATATTTGGATGTTTTAAGTTTGAAAGTATATTGAGTTTTTGGATTTCCAGAGCACTTTGCTGCAGAGAGTAATATCCGAATTTGGAGGCACTAGGATCATCACTTAGCAGTTTCATCTGAAAGAGAATATTTTGTCTTAGGAATAACAACATTGGTATTTGATGCTACAAAATACAGAGTTCAAAACAAATATGTACATTCATTTGTACAGCAATATCAGAATCAATATGCATTATATCATATATGCAAATGCTTTAATCATTCAAGGCTTCATTTGTTAAGCAAAATGATGAATGACATATTCATTAGTGAGAACATGGTAACCACTGGAAATATTCTTTAACGTACAATATTATTCATTTTTCTCAGATATGCACGGGCATAAAATTATTATAAATGAACTTAACAAAATTATACATGCCTTGAGATCACAAAACTTTCCAGACTTTAAATGTTTAATGAGAAATGTCAAGGATTCAAATCCATTAGTCTCTGTTTTGGTTGGTCGATCACCATTGACTACGTAATCAGTCCCTGGAAACCACTCCTTCAGGGGCGTGTCTATAGCTGGTTCAGATGGAGGCTCAAACCACTTCTGTCTCACTCTCTGTTTCAAGACTTGAAAATAATTATCCGTAAATGAACAAGAGGGGTTTACTTGTGAGGTCTCTTGTAAGAAATCATACAAATGATCAACCGAGTTTTTAAGCGGGGAGTGTGCCCTCATTTTTTCTTCCAAAGCTGTCTTCTGTTCGTTAAGTCTCTTGCAGACGGTTTTATACTTTCCCAGCTCAGAAGTCATTTCTTCATTCAAAACACTTAGTTCCTTAATCTTTTTATCCTTCTGAACGATTTCTTCTTTGATTTTTACTATTTGCAGTTGAAGTTTTTCCACCAAAGCTACCAGAGATTCTCGATCGTCTGCCGCGCTTGGAACCTTACAACCTTTCAAAATATCACTGTCTTGTACGTTACTTTTCTCCTTAACTTCACTTTCTCTACAAGAGCATGTTTTGGTGCAATTATTTTGACTGTCGGATGTGAAACACTCCGTAAGTGTGGCTGACAAGCACCTGTGTGAGTTATTATTCCTCTGTGTGCAAGAATCAGATTCCGACGCAGTTTCGTTAATTTTTCTTCTAATAATCTCTGGACAACTGTGTATTCTGCTTTCACTTTCCCTCCATTTGTTTTCGTAATCTGTTGAATGTAAAAAAAAAAAAAAAAACAGCACTCAAAACAACTGAGATTGAAGAATGTTCTAAAAGGTTAAAAAAAAAAACGGTTATAACTATAGTCTATATCTAAAAAGTGTATAACTATAGTGTACATTTAAAAAATGTAGGGATATTGCCTACTTTGACCAACAGTTATTTGATTAATTGATTGATTGATTGATTGATTGTTCTTTTACGTCCCATTCGCGAATTTTTCACTTTTATAGAGCCGTCACCAATTACCGGTGAAAGACTTCAATTTAGACCTTTATTCGACACTCAGGGCCATTGAGCAGTGAGGGATTTTTATCGTGCAAACGCCTACCTTGACAAGGGGCCTCGGTTTCTAATTAAGGTCTCATCCGAAAGACCCGTAACTTTCACCTAGAAGAGTCGAGCGCTTGGCGAAGGAATAGTTGCTACCTAATTTTTATCGACTTAGGTCTGTCGCGACCAGAGCTTCCGACCACGGAGCGACGCGCACTATCAACTGAGCTACCGTGACGATACACTGTATCATTTATTTAAAAATCAAAATCAGATTTCAACTCTATCACTACATAGCCAGGTTGAAATTTTCAAGCTGTCCACTTTTTAAATGCCTTTTTCATCAAATTTAACGCACAATTTTCTTTAAAAATTAGAAGGCACATCAAAGTTAATCGTAGATTTTCAGGAAAATAACGCAGCTCAAAAATATTGATAATCTAAACTGACAGATTATTAGCTTCAAATGGCAGATTTTTAATAAAATAAGTATGTTAAAATTGATGAAAATTATTAATTTTCTAAGAGATTCGACGACTCTTTATCAATTCACACTTAAACTAAAACGAGCATCACCTGTTTTATGACCTATTGCATTATGCAATGAGAATCATCATGATAGAGGGTCCAATATTGGGTTTATCCTTCCTAATTCTTTACTGATATATGTAAAAGGTACATTTCCCAAAGAAACATATTATTCAAAATATAAATACCTTGAGAAATACGTATTTTTTTTTACATATACCCAGTAAATTTTCAACTTTTTATAATTTTAGTACATTAACTCTACTGGTAATTATATAAGAATACTGCTGCTAACATTACAGAAACTAAACCCTTGAAAATAACGATTTTGCTTCAAACAGAGAAATATTCAGTCGTGATTATCATGATTTTTTATAATTAGAAATGTTAAAGAGGCAGAATTCGAAAAATCAAATATGTCATAAATCTGTTACAATGTCTGAAAGGTAAAAACTTGCATAAGATAATGGTATGTCTTTAATTGAAAGCCAACCTTTCATTTTTCTCTGAAGGAACTGAGATGTGTGTGTATGGAATCCAGCTTCCGCTTCTTCTGCCGCACTTCTTCTTTTCTCGTTGCGGAGGAATACATTAGCTCCATTTTGGACCAATAACTTCACTATGTCAATATTGCCCCTGTACGCTGACAAATGTAGGGCGGTATTCCCTGTCTTGTTTTGGATGTCTAGATCAGCGCCGCTGAAAAACAAAACATGATAACAAATCATGAAAACGCTGTATGACGTTTTCATATTTTGGGACCGAAAATAAAATTCTTCTTTATATTCCATTTAGGAGTACGCAGAGTCTTACAGTATTGACAAGTATGTAATTAATTTTTCACAAAGACTCGTGATATTAGTCATGTGGAAGAGTAGACTTTCGTACTCATTTCTGTTGATATAATTAAACGAATCAATGAGACATTCAATATGTGAAGACCAAACGAACCACAACTTTCTCAGAATACAAAGTCTTATCCAAGATATATGTCAAATTAACACTTCAAGGTTAAGGGTATAGTAAACCGTTTTACTGGAGTGAGCAATGGTTGCAATGCATCGAATGGTCTTATTCACTCATTGCCTTTTGGGTACATGCACTGGAAACACTCAGAATAAGAGGTCCATGGGCCATATCGCTCACCTGAGCACAGTTGCTAGGAGGAAGCAGAAATCAGTACAATGTTGAAAAGTAGGGGGAGGGCAAACGTAAATTTACACTACCTCAGGATGCTTCATATCAATATTACTAATCATGGCTTTGCTGTTCTTAAACAGAAGAATTAAAAAAAATTCTATGTACTTCTATGTAATACTCTGATCGCTCATTATTGCCCCACCCTACCCACCCTATATTTGAACAAATTTGAATCTACACTACCTGAGGATGCTTCTATAATAATATGACTGTTTATGGTTTTGCTGTTCTAGTGCAAAAGATTTTTTCAAGATGATTTCTTTATATACTTTTGAGAAACTTTGACCTTCTGTTGCGTCCCCCAACCCCTAGGGGGGGTCATAATTTGAACAAATTTGATTCTGCAATACCTAAGGTTGCTTCTGTATACATATGACTAATAATGGCTTATATACCCTTTGGCTAGTCCGTTCCAAGGTTGTCAGGCTATTCCGCTATTGGAAGTCTTCAATGTGTTTTACTCAAATGCCCCTTGACTATTAGACTTATATATTCCTACGTAAACTTTGACCCAATGTTTTGGCCCCGCCATTCCCCGGGGTCACAATTTGAACAAACTTGAATCTGCACTACCTGAGGACACTTCTATTATAATACGACTAATCATGACTTTGCTGTTCTCGAGAAGAAGATTTTTAAAAACATTTCGTATATACTCCTATATAAAACTTCGACCCACTCTTGAGCCCCGCCCTACCTCCGGAAGTTATGATATTACCAAACCTGAATCTTGAGTATGTAATGAAGCTTTCACATAAGTTTCACCTTTTCTTGACCAGCGATTCTTGAGAAGATTTTTTTTAAAATGCCAGCAAATTTTCGCGAATTCTTAATTATCTGCCCTTGATGGGGGACGTCGCACTTCCTGTGAATAAACTTAAATTCCCTTCACCCAAGAATGCTTTGTGGCAAATTTGGTTGAAATTGGCTCAGTGGTTCTTGAGAAGAAGTCGAAAATACGAAAAGTTACAGACAACACCGACTGACGACAGACGGACGCCGGACTCTCTTTGATCAGGTGAGCTAAAAAGGTCTTGTAAGCATTTGAAATTTGCTTGTTGAAATGGCAGAGATATCCCAAACCCATCTTAGAAAGCAAGATTTGCATGAAAAGTGACGTGTGTTGGATTTTAGCTATCTCATAGCAGAATGATATGACCGAATTTTTTCTTACACTTTAAAACAAACCTCTGAATTAATAACGTCACACAGGCAATATGGCCGCGGTCACATGACGCATGCAATGCAGTAGACCCCCACGTGACCTTGGCGTTGAGGTCAGGTTTAAGTTTGATTAGCTCGGCGCTTAGCTTCGTGTAACCACGACAGCAGCTCCAGTATAACGGCGTAGCATTATCTTTATCTCTGGTATCTACGGAAACTCCGTAATTGACGCAATTAATCACCGTCTGCAGTTCTCCATTTTTGGCAGCAGTTATTATATCGAGGTTGCTCATTCTTTTATTTCTGTCCTCCTACACAGCATTGTTCTCTGCTATCTGGAAAAGGTAAAACATGTGAAAATAAAACTTCTACGTGTAAAGTGGAAATTATATGAGAAATCCAAATTTTCTTTTTAATGTATTTGTTTTTCCTATGTCTAAAAAATCTTCAGGATTTTACAATTAGTATGGTACAACAAAAAAATATCGCGGTTAGCTGATCATGAGCAGAACGATAAAATAAGAACAGTTTTTTTTTTTCATATGTTGAACGGAAAGCTTATACAACCCAAGATCTATTTTCACGATAAATATGTGTAAACATTTAAAAATACAGTGAGAATGCATCGCTTTATATTTCACAAAATATACTGTGGAGTGATATATTTCAGAATACTTGCATAAATTATAAAAAGAAATTATCAATATGAAAGGAAACTATCATGTGTCACTTTTAAACGTAAGCTTTCTTTTTATTAACAACATTAATGTTATTTTTATGTCCACGCCCTTCTATAGTTACACAGTATGCGCTAGTTAGATCAAACTACACAATTCTGATTCATTGCCTGAAATACATTTATTGGGCATTAGATAAATCGTTCCGCTTCAAGAATCGGTGCCATCTAAAAATGTGAACATTTGATTTTTTTATTACTGGGAGAAGCAGAACCAACTCCAGTCCCAGTACACACATACAGTGTATAGACTTCATCTATCTAGATCTTGAAAATATATTCAACGTTAGTCGACAAAAATGAAGCAACCAAAAACAAAATAATTTAAATAGGTTATTAAAATTCGATGTAAGACAATTATGTTTTGTCTACCCTATTTATTGGGTCTTTAATGTTCACTATGTTGTTAAGTAAAGTCGTAAATAAGTAACCCTTTATAAAGGAAAATAATTAATTCTAAAATTCAAAAAAAAAAAAAAAAAAAAAAAAAAAAAAAAAAAAAAAAGAAAAGAAAATTGTCTACTTCTCAAACAACACGTTACATGTAACTACTATTTCAACTAGCTACTACTACAACAACTACATGTACCTTCAAATAAATTATTTTCAATGAAATTTAATGTTTAGATTTTAACTAATTTAATCAATAGCTAAAAATTGATAAATACCACTATTAATCTTTTGGTTAAATCTCAGCAACAGTCCATTAAAAAACTAATGAGAATTATGAAAAAAATCATGTGCTTATATATATATATATATATATATATATATATATATATATATATATATATATATATATATATATATATATGCATATATGGGAGCCTTAATGCTACATGGATTTTTTAATTGCATTGCATAGGCCGGAAGTCCTGATTTTACGGAATAAATTTTAATAAGGGAAGTGTTCCACCATTGGCCGCACTGTGAACAAATGAACGCTATTATTCTAACAGGAAACAAGGTCTAGAGGGAGACCGTTGATTAGAGGCCAATTGAAATCAGATACTTCAAATGCATTCATCACTCTCTATTTATAAAGTTAACATGAATGAATATAGTATGAAAGTAACGAAAACGATGAAATGGAATTGATTTTTTTTTTCCGAGATTTTTTCCTGATGTGACTTTGTATTTGTGTCTGCAAAGTAACAAAAGCCGTATGAAGCCGAGAAAAGCACCCACGCCTCCTCCACAAATGGGGATCAAATTTTTCACTATGCACCACGTCCGCACGCAAAGACCCGATAAATAAACATTTCTACTTTTAAATCGGAACTGCTTACTAGTAGTTAAAAGTCGTTAATAATCTTTATATCTGAAGTAAAATTCATTACATGTATATAAAAGCATTTTTCAGTTTCCAATAAGAAAATTAATATGCGACATTATGCTTTGCAAAGAAATTTCTTAAATTATTATACATGTGCCAATTTAAGGTATTTATTGAAAGGAATGTGACAAAAATTAAAAAGTCATAACTTCAAAGTTTTTTGATTTTTTTTTTTAAAGAACTATTAGGTGACTCATCCTTTAACAGGTTTTATAGATAAATCGTTTTGTATTGTGCAATTCAAATTGCTACAAATATAGGGAAGAACAAGCAAATACTAAGAAATTCAAAGAATTATGGTTCCCCGCTTTCGGCTCCTAGTGGTTGGGAAGCAATTATTCATAACATATTGTAATTGTCTTGGTTGTGTGACCTGTCTTGTCTGTCAATCATACAAAAAAGATATAAATTATTAAATTAATAAAAGTTATGGCAAAGATTAAAGCTTCTCAAAACTGCATCAAACGTCACTGCTATTGGGTCAAATATCATAATACAATCTTAAAGGTCATGAGTAATGCATGCCTAGTCTCTTCTGCGGCAAAAGTTATGGCCAAAGTTAAATTTTTTGATAAGTAGGTCAATCTCCTAGGTCAAAGTCATGAATCAAAAATGATAATGGTGTTGTCATAGGTAACAAATACATGTAAAATATGAAAGCCTTATCTTCCCTCATTCAAAAATTATCAGCAATGTAAAAAAAATTAAAAAGACTGTACATGTAGTTCAAACTTCAAGGTCACGATGTCATAAACCAGAGTACGTTCAGAAAGGTCTTGAAACAGGTAATGCACAAGTCAAATATAAATACCCTTTCTTCCTTCATTGATAAGTTACTAGCAATGTTGAAGTTTTTTTTTAAGTTAGGTAAAATTTCAATGTAAAGGTCATGGGGTTAAGAATGATGGTATATTTCGATAGGTCTTGTCACAGGTAATACAAATATAACTCATGAATGCCGTTTCTTCTCTCTTTCAAAAGTTATCAGCAACACTGGCTCAAATATCATAGCACATTCGGAAAAATCTTGTCACAGGTAATGAACTTATCAAATATGAACTCTCTGTCTACTTTCATTCAAAAGTTATCACCAATGTTAAAATTTTTGAAAATTAGGTCATACATGTACTTCAAGGTCATAGGGTCATAAGTCATAGCATGCACGAAAATGTCTTGTCAAAGGTAATATACATGTGAAATATGAAAACCCTATTTCTTCTCCTTCCAAAGTTATGACCAAGGTTAAAATAATGTTACAGTTTTTGAAAATTAGCTCAAAATTCAAAGTCAATGTGACGGGGTCAAAAGTTACAATATTGGAAAGGTCTTGTCACAGGTAATGTACATGTACATGTGAAATTTGAAAGCCCTGTCTTTTCTCATTCAAACGTTATGACCTAGGTTAAAGATTTTCTGACTGACAAACGGACAGACTGACATATGAATTAGATTTAATGTCCCCTCGCTTTCGCGAAAGTGGGGGACAGTAAAATTAATTGTTAACAACAAAGTGTATAGTGCAACAAATTCTTACCAATAAAGAATTACCAATATTTTTTCAAATTTTATATTTTTTTAAAAAAATTCCAATTTTTGACTCAATAATTTAATTTAAATCTTACCGAAGCCAAGATGAAGAACACATGCTCCATGGTGAGACGTCAATAAGAAAAAAAAATGAGTCAAAACTTTTTTTTTATCAATACCTCTTCATAAACGACATCCTTAAAACTAGTCATTCACAAGGACGTGTGCTTTAAGATAACGTATTAAGACATGAAACTTTTGACTTCCTGCTTTTGATACCACCCTGTCAGTTCATATGAATTCACTAAAGCGGTACAACAGGTCAACAACGGGATTTTTTGTAAACAAAATATAAGCATTCATGAATTAAACCAATTTTGAACACGTGTGTACATGCGATACTTTGTGTTTTATATCTAGTATATTTTGCTTATCTGCAAAACTTATGCTTATTCAACAATAATGAGATCATTGCGACTGCATATCGAAGCATTGTGAGAATTACATAATACAGCACACGATGAATGAGACATTTTCCCCATTCAGTATTGCAATTTAAAATGATCAATACAATGACTTGCAATAATTTGTGATTTTTTTTTTTATTTTTACAGTTAAAAAAAAGTTTAAGCAGAACCTCAACAGAAATTACCAGAAACAACTAAAAAATGTAATAAATATAAACTCCCTGATTATTCTTCTATTTCATTTCCCAAATTGTAAAATATTGAAAATTCTGATACTAAATTCTAAATCTCTAATGAATACGAAGAATGAGGGAAAATTATTTTATTTTTAAAAAACGAAAAGGATTTATGAAAAGTGGATCAATATTCTTTTTTGAGACAGAAAAGGGGGAGGGGGATCTCTTAAAGCAATTGTTACAAGTATTTATCATAAAAAGGACCTGTTTTTTGAAAGCTGAAGTTCCTATATCTTATTCTAATTATTTGGAACTTTCTGAAAGGAGGATATAATGATTAAACAATTACTGTACCTGCATTATTGGTTGAAACTTTTTTTTTCTTGTTACATGTGTTGTAAAAATAATTCTTATTGAATTTTCCTTTTCATTAACGCAGAGATCCTTATTTGTACAAAGTCTACAACTGTAAAATTATACACATCCTGTATCAATTTGTAACTTGCTTAATAAGCAGATGAGAAAGAAGGAAAAATACTAAGTGAAATTTTTCATCATGCAAACTTTCGGGTAGCTCAATTATAAGTCATCATTCGCACAACTGAACGCTTAATACAACTAATCGATAAATATATTGATAAATATATTTACAGCCTAATGTTCAGGAACAATCAGGGTTAATTTTCTATTTTCGATCGGCTTTCTTACAAAGATTTCCGCAATCTGCACAACTAATTTTGGAATTCCTAATGCATTTTAATTGCATATTTTTAGTTTTGTTTTCGATCCTTTTCAACCTACCAGAAGTTTATACTCAAATAAAAAAAAAAATACTGAATTTTGTTTTCCTTAGTCTTTGTTACCAGGAAGTTTTTATCCGAAACTTAAATTTTCAATGCCTCACTTCCAAGAAGTTCCCAGGGTATCTAAATAAACATAGCAGGTTATATCAACTAGAAAGACTTTAAATGTCCGCTTGACCCAGATAAGATACTTACAAAGGAATGAATGTTGCACAAATTATTATACTTATATATGATAAGGGACCCTGCTTGTAATTAACGTAACAAACCTACTCCTGAACTTCGAACAA